TTGTTTACAAGCCTTCCTTCCTACCGGTGTGGGGACCATCTTCATGCATAAACCTCCGTCCAGGTCTGCGACCGCTGGTGCACAATACAGTCCTGGGGGTGGAGGTCACGGGATGTGGGTGTGTAGGCGCCAGACTGCCCTTCACAGACAGTTACGCGGGTCATGGCCTGGAGAGGAGGGTTCAGAGAAGGTGCCAGTACGTGTGCGTGTGAGCAGGGGCCGGGTCGTACGTCTGCCTGGGTGCTGGCGTTGGAAGCACAGGCTCTCTTGTCACAGCTCTGGGGAGGAAGGGCACTGACCCGGAGCTGAAACCACCCTGGTTCTGGATAACCCCACCCCCCACCCCCACCCCGGCACCCGTGTGGGTAGGCCGCCGTTTTGCTTTCTGGGCCCCGTGTTCTGCACCGGGACAGAGGGGGTGCGGCACACTGAGTGTCTGGAATCCTGTAGTCATGGAGCGCGAAAGCCACGCGTGCCCGAGAGTTAGCAGATTCAGGCTTTTGGGATGAAGACCGTCTCCACGTCTTCGCGTCCGCTCTGGAAGAGAACACGGAAGGCCCGGCCTGTGTGTGATGAATGTCTGTGTATAAGAGAAGGATGGAGCCCCCGGTCGTTTGTAGCCAGCGAAGGATTGGCATTTCCAGAGGTCTCACGCTCAGCCTGCCTGGTCAGTTTAGCCTGCAGATACGCCTGCACAGGTGTGAAATAACTGAAGCACGTGCTTATTCACAGCATCAGTATTTGTAAAAATAAGGAAATGAGTAATGCCCATCAACGAACTGTTGCATACGTCTAGTGCAACACTGTGCAGCCTCAGAAGCAGGAAGCTGGATCGATACAGAAAGATCGTAAAGACACATTTTCAAGGGAAGACTTACACACGACACTGTACGTATGCGTTGTGCTAACGTTTCATATTTTTTACGTACTTATTTAACTTTTTTGACGTTTATTTATTGAGAGACAGAGAGACATAGAGCATGCGCAGGGGAGGGGCAGAGAGAGGGGGAGACACAGAATCCGACGCAGGCTCCAGGCTCTGAGCTGTCAGCACAGAGCCCGATGTGGGGCTCAAACCCACAAACCATGATCGGGAGATCATGACCCGAGCCAAAGTCGGACGCTCAACCGACTGAGCCACCCAGGCGCCCAACATTTCATAGTTTTTAAATGGGGAGGGAGAAAATAATTTTTTAAGTAGGCTCCACACCCAGCATGAAGCCTAATAACATGGGGCTTGAACTCATGACCCCAAGATCAAGATCTGAGCTGAGATCAAGAGTCAGATGCTTAACCAACTGACCACCCAGGCACCCTGAAAAATTTTTTTTCTATTTATTCTTTTTCAAATTTTTATGTATTCTTATATTTTTTAACGTTTATTTATTTTTTGAGAGACAGAGCTTGAGCAGGGGAGGGGCAGAGAGAGAGAGGGAGTCACAGAATCCGAAGCAGGCTCCAGGCTCTCAGCTGTCAGCACGGAGCCCGACGTGGGGCTCGAACTCATGGACTGTGAGGTCATGACCTGAGCTGAAGTTGCATGCTTCACCGACTGAGCCACCCAGGCGCCCCTTCAAATTTTTATTTAGATTCTAGTCAGTTAACTTACCGTGCAATATTGGTTTCAGAAGTAGAATTCAGTGATTCCTCACTTACATACCACAGCCAGTGCTCAGCACAAGTGCCCTCCTTATGCCCATCCCCCCCCAGCCCATCCCCCACCCATCAGTTTGTTCTCTACTGTGGAGGGCCTCTTATGGTTTGTGTCCCTTTTCTTTGTGTCTTCCTTTCTTTCCGCCTCCCATATGTTCATCTGTTGTGTTTCTTAAATTCCACATAGGAGTGAAGTCACATGGCATCTTTCTCTGACTGACTTATTTTTCTTAGCATGAAACACTAGCTCCAGCCACATGGTTGCAAATGGCAAGATTTCATTTTTTATGGCTGAGTAGTAGTCCATTTGTGTGTGTGTGTGTGTGTGTGTGTGTGTGTGTGTGTGTGTGTGTGTGTGTATACACACACACACCACGTTTTCTTTATCCATTCATCAGTGGGTGAGCGTTTGGGTTGCTTCCATAGTTTGGCTGTTGTTGATAGTGCTGCTATAAACATTGGGGTGTATGTACCCCTTTCGAATCTGTATTTTTGTATCCTTTGGATAAATACCTATTAGTGCAGTTGCCGGGTCGCAGGGTAGTTCTGTTTTTAACTTTTTGAGGACCCTCCACACTGTTTTCCAGAGTGGCTGCACCGATCTGCATTGCCACCAACAGTGTAACGTCGTTCCCGTTTCTCCACATCCTCACCAACGCCTGTTGTTTCTTGTGTTTTCGTGTTTCTTTGATTTTAGCCATTCTGACAGGTGTGAGGGGGTATCTCATTGTGGGTTTGATTGGTATTTCCCTGATGATGAGTGATGTTGAGCATCTTTTTATGTCTGTTGGCCATCTGGATGTCGTTGGAAAAGTGTCTGTTCATCTCTTCTGCCCATTTCTTCACTGGATTATTTGGTTTTGGGGGTATTAAGTTTGAAAAGTTCTTTATAGATTTTGGAGAAAATATTTTCTTGTATATGCACTAATCTCTGTGGGATAATACTTAAGACCCCCAAATATTACTGCTCAGGGGACGGGGGCTGGGCAGCTGGGACAGCAGGATGAGAATGTTTACACCGTGCCTTAAAAAATAACCAGAGTGACATCATCAGGTCTAAAAAATAATCACATTAATCCCCTGGTACCGTCAGTGCTCCCGGTACAAACAAGCCCCGGGCCGTCCGCCGTGCTTGCTTGGTGCCTGGCTTTGCTCTTTTCTCTTTCTGGCCTGTGCTGTCCGTCTCCCTCTCGTCTGGCACTTTGTGGTGTGATTACTGGAGGAGCTGGGTCGTTCCTCCTGCATCTCGTTAGGGGTCGTGAGAGGTCTCATCAGCTTCCAGATCTGAGTTTTCCTCTTTTGGCGGTAACGTTGCATGGATGACGTCCGCTCTGTGTTTTCCGACTTGAGCACCACGGATCCGGTGCCGGGGAGTCAGCGGTGCGCGGTGCTGAGACCGGCGTGCGCGCCTGGGGTCGCTGGTTTGGCCGTCTGTCACAGAGGCCCCTTGTGGACACTCCCTAGATCCATTCCTGGCTTTTTTTTCTTTTTAGTGTGTCTTTATTTAGAGAGAGAGAGAGAAAGAGAGAAGAGCGCGCACACACACACATGCAAGCGGGGGAGGGGCAGAGGGAGCATCCCAGCAGACTCCACGCTGTGCTGTCAGCCCAGAGCCTGACGCAGGGCTCGTTCGAACTCACAAATCGCGAGATCACGACCTGAGCTGAAATCGAGTCAGACACCCATCCAGCCGAGCCATCCGGGTGCCCCTGAATCCACTCTGTAATGTAGGGGTGCGGCCGAGCCGCCCGGGCGCCCTGGAATCTACTCTGTAACCAGGGGTGAGACAACTGCATCAGCTGTGTTCCCGCTGCCTCATCTGTTCACTTATCAGCTGGAATTTTCTATAAAGAAAAACTTTATTTTTTCTCTTCAACTGTTTGGTTCCCCTGTGAACAAGTCACGATCACCCTTCAGCTTCCAGTGTTCGGAATATCGAGTGGGTGAGCCCACATCTCCTACAGGCAGGCGTACCTCTGGTTCCCTCACTACCACGGTGAACGCTCAGGCTTTAATGTGTTCTGCGTTTCAGGCCGTTGCTGTCATTCTTTTTGATATTCAGAGTGCCCTCCTGTGGGCGGGGGTGCCTTCAGGTGGGCCCTTTAACCCACGGAGTTCGGGGAGGCTTTCTTGCTTTCTGGTGTGACAGATGGTGACATGTGTCATGTGCGCTTCTGGGCTCCACGTGGAATCCAGATTTCCCCCAGGAGGCCTGGCTCCTTTCGGTGAGAAATGGGACTGTAGAGACCAAACCTGCGTGCTTAGTCTGTTCCTTGTCACGCATGGGGATTGTTTGTGGCCTTTGCAGGGGACAGTTAGGAAATGGTGTTTTTTTTCCCCTGAAGAGAAACATATATCACAAGTTCAAACTGAGACTTCCAGTTCAAATGTCGGCTTGTATTTGATTTTATATTTACATCTTGTTTTGCCACTGACAGTCTTGGTTTCAGTTCTCTCCTTGGCTTCATCTCCTGGTGAGTCCCAGGACCGCACAGTTACAGTCCTTTGTGCCTGTGCACTACTTACGTGTAACACGACCACGGCTTTGGAACCACACTCGGGATGATGCCTCCCTGCGTGACAAAGCTGTCAGTGCACAGGCTCGTTGTTTCATTTTGCTTTTGGTATTTAGATGTTGTCCCCCCCCCCCCTTTTTTTAAATGTTTATTTATTTTGAGAGAAAGAGTGGGGGGTGGGCAGGGGAAGAATCCCAAGCAGGCTCCATGCTCATCGAAGACCTGACACAGGACTTGACCCCACGACCCTGAGATCATGGCCTGAGCGGAAATCAAGAGTCAGACGCTCAACCGACTGAGCCACCCGGCACCCCTTTCTCGCCCCTTTTGAGTGAATTTGTTTCTTGGGGGTTTGTTTGTTTTGTTTTGTTTTTGAGTGAATTTGGTCCGTGTTTTCTGTTACCCCATCCACATGGCCGTCCGCCTGCCTGCAGAGTGTGCTGGTCTGGAGAAGACCGCCGCCCCCACCCCCTCCCTGCCCCGGGTGCTGCCTTCTTTCCCACATTTCCACAGAAACAAACAGGCCCCTGTATTCAAGTCTTCACCCTCTCAGCTTCTTGAATTTTAAACAGATTTTCAAAAGACTGAAACACAATGCCTTAGAGGCCCTATTTACCGAACAGGTTATTTTTCCCACGAGTGAGCGCTATTCTCGTCCTGTTCCCTGCACGGAGTGTAGTCTGGGGTGCGGTGAAACACCGAAAGTCTTTTGGGGAAATGTGACCACAGCAACTTTTTACTGTTTGAAGCAGGTGAGTTTTGTGTGCTTTTTAAGACATTCATTCAACAGCCTGCCTGTTAAAGCCGCCCCGTGCACCCCTGTCTTTTCAGGAGCTGTACCCCGCGTTCTGCATTCACAACGGAGGCTCTGACCTCGAGCGGCTCCCCACGGCCAGCACCTGCATGAACCTGCTGAAGCTGCCCGAGTTCTACGACGAGACGCTTCTGCGCAGTAAGCTCCTCTACGCTATCGAATGTGCTGCTGGCTTCGAGCTGAGCTGAGCGGAGGCCGGAACTGACCCTCTGCAGAGAACCGACCGGTGCCCGCAGCACAGGCAGCACCCCCCGGCCGCCGAGGGCGCTGGGGCCGGGCTCCCGCAGCTCTCCGCGTACCCCCATCCCTCATTCCACCCCCTCCATTGTCTAGATGGTCCAGTAAGTCACGGTCACTTACTTAGACGGACACTGCTTTTCAGATAACTTAGAATAACAAGGGTTACGTGCCATGCGGCTACGTTAGTAATTTGCCAACAAGAGCACAGTTTTAAGACTAGTGGCGACTCAGTGAAATTAACCAAAGATGAAGCTTTGGCTTTGCTGGTGGACTCGAGCCTCCCTCCGCCGGCGGGGCTCCTGGCGGGGCTCTTGGAGGGCGGCGCGTGCTCCGTCCGCAGAGACGTGGGGTCTGAGACGTGGAGACGTCACTCTCGGGGCCCGCTGCTTCTCGTGTGGCTGAATTGTTTACAATCCTAATTGTTAAAACGAAAGGCATTTTCTCTCCTGCTGCCTTTTCCCAAAGTGGTTAGGTCTGGAAAATACACAACGTGATAATATTTTATTTGTGCTGTTTAAGCCATTCCCCTGCACGGGACTAGCATGCTTGTTTCGGGGTACCGAGGACCGCACCGTGGTGGCTTGGGTACTCCCGTGTGTGGGTGTGTGCGAGGGGACGTTCATCCCTCTTCCCTTCCTGGCTGCACGCTGTGGCGGGAGAGCTCCCGGGAGAGGGGAGGGTCTCGTCCAGGCCCCACGGCACGCGTGGCCTCTGAGAAGTGGCGACGTGGGGAGAACAGACACTGGCATCGGAGTCACTTGAACCAAAGGGGCGGCTGCGGCTTTGCACTCAGTGTGGCCCCCTGTGGCCGGGCCATCCGCGGCCCACCGCCCTCCTACCCCGGGGCACGCGCCCCCCTCCCGGATGCGTGGGGTAATGCGCCGCCTGCGCCCTCCCCTGCGCCCTCCGCTTCTCGAAGGTGCTGCTTCTGGAGGAAGACCGGCCGGTCCCACGCGGGCCCGGGGGAGGGGCGTTGGTAACTCTCTCTTAAAAAGGCACTTTATCGGGACCTTCCTTGTTGCTGGGTGATTCCGGTCTCTGAAAACGGAGTGCGTCAGAGCGGCCCTCCCTCCCAACCAGGGGAGCAGGGGATCGGTGGGGGCGTGGAAGGGAGTGTGGGGGGGGCGTGGAGGGCCCAGTGGCTACTCCCCACCCCCACCAGCATTTCCTGTCACCGGGGCTGGGGGCCGTGCTGTGGAAGTGACCAGAATTAGCAATATGCTTTTAAATGCGGGGAAACTGAATGACACTTTTAAGACAATGACCATATCAAAACAAAATGTATAATTTCGTAATTTGAATAATAAATTAAGTGTTTAAATGCTATTTGTAGTCTTGATATACAGAAATAAAATAATTAGGGTTTGTCCTTGGTTTTATTTTTATTTCAGGTTGGTTTATGATGAATGTTCTGTATCTTCTTTACGTATTTGTGTATTTTATTATCCGTATTTTGAAAATGGATTATCTGGGACTGAGGGGGATGGGCAGTTCTACTTCCTTGGGTTTTTTTTCTCAGCTGCTCTGAGCTTACTTATTTATTTGTATGTTCCAGTGGTGACATATTTGCATTAAATATTTTCCCCAAGATTGTGTTGGGGTCCACCGAAGTCATTGTGATCACTTGTGGTCTGCCCTGCTGAAACGACCAAGATCCTCGGTATGCGCTGGTTTTGTCACGGACGTTCGAATGGCGCCAGGTGACCCGCGTGACAGCAGCCTGTGATCGTTCCCGCGAACCCGGTAGAGTCCGCAGGAGCGCCTGCCGTCGGAACGCACCGAGAGGCTCTGGCAGACGGACCTGTGACGGCCCTTCCCGCGGCCCCCGGCGACCTGACTGCACAGCCCCCTGCCTGGGAGTGACCGCCACCTTCCCAGCCTCTTGGTGGGCCGAAGAGGACGTTGTTGAGAAAAATCATACCTGAGGCAACACTCTCCTTGCTCTGCTGTACTTCGTGCGCACTGCTGGTAGCTCTGCGCTCGAACCTGAACGTCGAGTCCCCGGGGGGTTAGGCCAGGCACTTCTCACAAGCTGTCACCTGCAGGTGGATTTTAGCCGGTAACCTAAAAGGGCACCGAGTTATGGCTGCACAGATGGCCAAAGCTTGGGAAGATCTGTTTAAAGAAAACTAAGATCACGTGTTGCAGTTTCTCGTGGCTGCCATAATGTGACCACAGACGGGTGCCCGTAACAACATCTGTTCTCGGTGCCGGAGGCCCGGAGGCTCCCTGTGGGGAGGAATCTGTTCTTTGCCTCTTCCTAACCCCTTCTGGTGGCTGCTGACGCCCCCGGGCTGACGTCACATCTTCTGCCCGCGTCAAATCTCTGTCTGCGTTTCTCCTCTATGGACGCTGGTCCAGTGGAATTAGGGCCCCAGGATCAGCCAGCGACCTCAAGATCCTCGATTACACCTGCAAAGACCTTTTTATCCAAGTAGTGTCCATTCACAGGTTCTAGGGGACATGAGCCTCTGTTGGAGGCCGAGAGGCGAAGTTCACCACGCCGTCCGACAGGCGGAGCAGCACGGTGGACGTGCCCTTTAACTTGAAAGTTGGGAACCTCTAACTCCCGCGTGGCCGTGGCCCCCAGAGCCCTGCGCAAGTCCGTCCTTTGCCATCAGGGAGTGCAGGGTCACACTGGATCGGTGTTACCCAGACTGGAACGAGGTGATCCAGGGAGGAACTCACAAGTCTGCATCTTTTCTAAGCTAGTTTATTCATTTTGAGGGTGAGAAAGTGTGAGCGGGACAGGGGCAGAGAGAGAATCCCAGGCAGGCTCCGAGCTGTCCGTGCAGAGCCCGATGCGGGGCTCGAACCCACAACCCTGAGATCATGACCTGAGCTGAAATCAAGAGTCAGACGCTCAACCGACTGAGCCACCCAGGCACCCCCACAAGTCTGCATTTTTAAAGGGTCCCAGTCCTTCCTGGGAGGCTGTTGGAAAATGATTACGCAGCCTCAGACACTCCTGAGCGGCCAAGACCCTCCTGTCTGGGGCCGCCGCAAGTCGGAACCGACGTGCGTAGAGTCTGTGTCCGCTGTCCTGGGCAGTACCGGGCTCTCTGCTGCTGGGGCAGGTCCGTTCCCTCCAGCTCAGGGGCCCCGGCCAGGGCTCCGAAGGATGGGCAGGGTCCCCCTGTGTCCCACCACCCCCGCCGCAGGCACACAGGAGGAGGGTCTCCAGGGATTCTGGGCCAGACCTTGTGTCTGTGTCTAGCAGCGGCTCCCCGCTTGGCTTCCGGGTCGGCCTCCCAGACCCCGTGGGCCCAGGACACCTGCTGAACCCGCAGCCGGGCCCCAGATCATCGACCCACCTCCCCCTCCCCACACTGCCGCCCCACGCACCCTGCCAGCTCTCCTCCCAGAACCGCCAAGCTGAGGACCTCTTGCCATGTTCTGCCACCTCCCTGTTCTCTGCTGTGGCCTCAGGTTTGCCTGGATCTGAGGTGCCTCCCGGCGTCCCCGTACTTCTGCCCTCACTCACCTCCAGTCTGTTTTCAACTCCGTCGCCAAAGAAGACCCTGGATCCTCAGCCGGTCTTTGTCATTAGTCCGGGTGGGACTTTCTGGCATCTCCCAGTAAGAGCCGCCAGTAACACCCAGATCCCTCTCTCTTGCTGACTGGGCCCCACCGGCGGCTTTGGTTTCCTTCCCTGGCCTCAGGGCCTTTGCACTCGCTCCCTAAGCATGAAGTTCTTCCCACAGAAACTCAGGTGGCTCCCCCCTCACTTTCCTCAGGCAGTTCTTGGCTCGGTGTCCCTTTCCTTCCCCAACCCCTCTCTGTCCCCATCATGACCTTTTGTGATGCATAGCTTCCTCAGTGGCACTGGTTTCATTTTCATCTAAACTGCTGTATCCCAGCGCCTAGAATAACGCCTGGCGCACAGGTGCTCAGTAATTGTTGAATGAACTTGCTTCACGAAGGAAGAAAGGGTTTGCTAACCACAGTAAGCTGCAAGTTAACGCCTCTGTGGATGCTCAGAGTGTGAATCCTTGGGCCCAGATTAGAAACCTTTTGCGAACAAAGTAACGAGAAGCTGATGATCTTTACGGCCTGCCCTGCCCTTCCGGCCCCAGAACGGACCCTTTCTGGGGCACTGCTCCTTTACTGGGGACTTTGGTCCTGCAGTCCTGTCACTCGACACCTGCAGTCCTGAGAAAAGGGGGCTTTGTCAGCCTCCCCAGTGCTGGTTACCAGGTAACCCTCGGTCCTCCCTATGTTCTCAGACCCGCGCAGGCTCCATCCAGTAGGCGCGCGTGAGGCTGTGGCATTAACGGTGTGACAGACAAGTCCCTGCCCTCCAGTCCCAGTCTGTCCTGGCTTCTCTTAGCGACAGCTCCCTACCGGCCACCATCAGGAGCCAGTCAGTCGTCTTGAAACTTGAACCTCTTCAGAGAACCAGCCGGACTATCCTACTTGTGTCTTCACGTGGTGACTTTAAGATGATAGGATATAAAGCAAGACTTTTTTTTTAAGTTTATTTTGAGAGAGAGATGGGGGGAGGGGCAGGGGGAGAGGGAGGGAGAGAATCCCAAGCAGACTCTGTGCCACCAGCACAGAGCGCAGCCTGGGGCTCGAACCCACAAACCATGAGATCATGACCTGAGCCGAAGTTAGATGCCCAACCGACTGAGCCACCCAGGAGCCCCAAGCAAGGCTTTTAACAAAAGTCTTTAAGTTTAGGGGCACCTGGGTGGCTCGGTTACTTAAGCCTCTGACTTCGGCTCAGGTCGCGATCTCACGGTTTCTGAGTTCAAGCCCCGCGTCCCGCTCTGTGCTGACAGCTCGGAGCCTGGAGCCTGATTTGGATTCTGTGTCTCCCTCTCTCTCTGCCCCTCCCCCACTTGAACTCTGTCTCTGTCTCTCAAAAATAAACATTAAAAAAATTTTTTTTAAGTCTTAAAGTTTAAAATTCCATTGCCTTCCTTCCCCAAAATGTTACACATGG